TTTGGCGCACTCGTATGACCAGTCTCGATATGGGCCTTCGTAGTAGGAGCCGTCGACAGTATAGGGGCACGAGTGCGTATTCCGCCAGTCGTCGAGCGTCCTCGTGTTTTCATCGCAGACGAGGCCGTAGTCGTACTTCGAAACGACGGAATAGTAGCACCCCGCGAGGCCCTTTGCCATCGTGTGGTAGGAATCCCAGTCATTGTCGGTGGCGTCGTTGACGTCAAGGAAGTTCCTAAGGAGCGGCACCAAGCAGGGTGAGAGCAGCACCGCCGAGAGTCGGCAACGAAAGCCTCGGTGGAGAGAGGACAGGACGGCGGGTGTGAGAGAGCTCTAGAGAGTACACCAGAACTTCGGCTGCCCGTAAAGGGTCTGCCTGCAGGAGCGGCAGGCGATACACGCATAGCTCCCCTCGGGATACACCTTCATTGTGCCTTCAGCATCGGCCCAGCTTTCCCTTTTCATCCCCATTGCGGTGGCGTATGCGCCGTTGCACCCCGGCTGGTGGTCGCTCCACGCGCAAAGCTCGGAACAGTTGACGCAGTTCATGTCGTACCGCGGGGACGCGGCGTCCCTCCTGAGGTTCGATTCGACAAGGAAGTCTCCTGTTTGGCCAAGGGAAAGGTGGAGGAGAGACAGCGTCCACATGGTCAGGGCGAAGGAACGGGATCCGGGATCGGGCGACAAAAACTTTGTGTTCCGTAAACCGAATCACGAACATTGTGCCCCCCCCAAAACGTCTTTTCCGCCGAAAAACAGCCAAAACTGTTTGTTTCGACCGGGGTGCATCCGTGAATCTTTCCAGCTCAGGCACGCAGAAAGTGAAGGCTACAGCATCCTCGCAGCTTACGTCATGCATGAGGTACGAACAGTATGCTAAGAGACTACTTTTTTGTTCTACTTTAGTAGAGATGCGCGCGTTTCTCCAATTGCTGCTACCAGAAAAAGTAGCCGCAAACTGCGTCAACAAATGAGTCGCATCGCGTGACTTTTCTCATGCCACTGCGGTCTGCGCTGCACGCAGCACGCGCCTCGGCGGTGCGCAGCCATAGGAGAGTCATGACAGAAAGAAAGAGAAGACAGACAAACCCAAACGAGGGATGGGGGGGAGAGGAGGACAGACAGGGTCCCCACCTGCACGAGCAGGATTTTGGAAGGACGATCAGGGGGACAGGTGGGGCTCTCCTGCTCCTGACAAGGGACACGACAGGCTCGCAGCGCGGTGCACGGTGGACTCCCAACTCCACTGGCGGCTCATCTCAGTCTAGCGACCTGCCTCCAGCTTCTCACTGGCAGTCTCTCGCAACCACAGGCACACTGACACAGGGGTGGAGAAAGAAAGAAAGAAATAAAACTGACAACCCAAGGGAGGGATGGGAGGACGGCACGCCGCCACCACACAGGGATTTTAAGGAGAGGAGTGTGGTGCTAGCCGTCGCCCACCCTCGGGCGTCTACCACTTCCTATCTCTCTTCGCAGTTTCTCACCAATTCTCGCAGCGACCTTCATGCCACCTCTCGTTCTTCTCACTCTCACACAGGGGTAAATAAATAAATAGAGCAGACATCTCCAGGAGAGATGGGCGACGCACGAACACAGAGGGACAGTGCGCACCCCGCCCCGCTCGCAGGGCGTGCAGCACACAGCAACACAAGGCATATCTACGCTGTGCGCCTCCTCGGGATTTCTGGGGAGGTAGAAGTGTGTGTGTGTGTGTGTGTGTGTGTGTGTGTGTGTGTGTGTGTGTGTGTGTGTGTGTGTGTGTGTGTGTGTGTGTGTGTGTGTGTGTGTGTGCTCGCTCGAACGCGCGCGGGCGCTATGCGAGCCGCCCTGCCCGCGGCGCTGCTAGAGTTGCGCCGCGGGGAGGGCTCGGCGGCCGCTTCTAGAGCTCGTCATCGCCCCCCTCGAAGAGGGAGGCTTCGTTGGACTCAAGGCGTGGGCCGCCATGGTAGTGGAGAGAGATGAGTTCGCCTTTTGACCGCAGCGAATATGTTCACACCTGAGCGGAGGCCAATTGATTCGCGAGGCTCTGGCAAAAGTGCGGTTGGCAACGGGCTCTTGTCCGTGCAAGCCTTCAGCTGGTGCCAAAACGTACCAAAACGTCCTCTCCTCGACCAAATACGCGGTCGTCGGTAGAAATGTGGCTTGCTTGCAAGAATGGGATGCCGACAGGCGTCAGGCGGCGCATGCCGAGAAGTCGCTTGCCGTGCGGGAGCTCGTGCGCCTCTCCCTGCGCGTGCAGTCCACGGGCGTCGTCGCGGAGCTTCATCTCGACACGGCACTGGTTGCTACGAGCGGCAGCGGAGCTGATCACGAGCGACGAATTCGCAGGGGATGCCAGGCAACAGATGGGCGCGCAGATAATTGGCGTGGCGTCCTAAACAACGCACGAGCATGCTCAACTGCTGCGCGACGCTCTCTGCGACCCCGACTTTCTTTATGCGCTTTGCCATTCGCCGCCGCATTTCCTAAAGCGACACTAGCACTAGATGCGTCCTGGCATCGGGAGGGTCCGCCTAAGAGGAAGTATGCATGTACTTTGTGCGTGGAGTGTCTTCCCCTTTTGCGCAGCAATACCTTAAACTTTTAGGCCCTCCAAATTCGGGTCGGAGCGTAGCGGAGTGGGCCCCGAGTTTGAAAAAGGCGACGGACGCTTGCGTCCTAGCCTCCAACAACGCCTCCCCGGCGCAGAGGGGCCCCCGGAGGGATGCACAACCGCTCCACGCCACGCCGCTCGCGGCGGTCCTCTTCCCAGCTCCGCTGAAGAAATTATTTTTTCGTGGCTCTAGAGGCCTCCAGTGACGCGACAGGCTCGTTTCTCCTCCCGCCGCCGCCACCTCCCGCCGCCCGTCCACCGTCGCCCGTCGGACCGCCGTCCCGCCCCTCCGCGCAGATGGCTGCTCGTCGCCTCGTGCCGCTGCTCGACCGTGTGCTCGTCCAGCGCATCGAGCCGCCGACCAAGTCGATCGGCGGTGTGCTGCTGCCCGAGTCGACGCAGAGCAAGCTCAACGAGGGCGTGGTGATTTCGGTGGGGCCGGGCCGGCGGGACAAGGAGGGGTCGCTGCTGCCGATGGGCGTCAAGGTCGACGACAAGGTGATGCTGCCGCAGTACGGCGGCAACGAGGTGACGCTGGGCGACGAGGACTATGTGCTCTTCCGCGACGAGGACATCCTGGGCGTGCTGGCGGACAAGTAGGCGGCGGGCAGAGCGTACCGCCGTGCAGTCCCCGCCAGCGGCCTTCCACCTCCGACGGCCGGCCTGCATGGGGCTTCTCCGCTCTCCTTGGCGCCGCCGCCGCCGCGCTGTGCGCCGCCCGGGCTCGCTTTGGCCCTTCGCCGCGTTGGCCCCACGCCGCTCGTAGATCGGGAGGAGGGGGATGGGCAGGGAAACGTGCGGGTGCCGGCGTGTATTCGACGATTTGCCGTGCGTATGTGTATCTCTGAGAGCGCACACGCGGGATCCTCTCTCCCCGCGTGTTCGTGCGCGCCTTTGTTGCTACTTAGGTTCGTTCAGTGCGAGAGCGGGAAGGCGTCAGGTGATGAGATGGGCGGCTCTCTACTACGATTTCAGACGTTTTGAACAGAACCCCAGCAGAGGTGCTGGCCATTTTGACACATCCGACATACGACGCGAAGGCGAACCGCCAGAGCGCAGAGGCACGTACGCGGTGCTCGGTGGAGGGCGCGAACCCCCGCGCGGCGGCCGGCGCGCGCCTGTCCGCTCGAGAGTCGAGTCCGCGGACTCCACGCCGCCTCGCGCCCCGGCGACCGCGGCGGCGGCGGCGGCGGCGGCGGGCTACCTCGCCCACGCCTGCCTCATCTCCTCGTCCTCGTCCTCGTCGCGAGAGTGGCGCGTGAGCTTGGCCCTCGCGCTCGAGCCGGCGGCGCGGCCAGTCATTCGCACCGGGTCGAACAGGGCAAGTCCGCGCACCTGACGAGGATGCGAGAGAGGCCCCTGCCGCACGACGACTACCGCACTACCGCGGGGATCCGGAATCCAACGACCCAGCTCTCTCTTCCCTACTGGCCAGCTCTGGTTCTCAGCCCGCGCACCTCTCGCTCGCTGCCTGAGCCTCGACCCGAGCCAGTGCCGCCAACCTCCGCCCGCCTCGCGGTGTCAAGAGACGCGCAGATGTCAGGCAGTCAGAGGTGTAGATCGAGATGACCCGAGATGACACGAGAGATGACCCGAGATGACCCGAGATGACCCGAGATGACCCGAGATGACCCGAGATGACCCGAGATTGTCCGAGATGACCCGCGATGACCCGAGATGGCCCGAGATGACCCGACCAGAGATGGCCCGAGATTGTCCGAGATCGTCCGAGATCGCCTGCAAAGCGAGTCGCTCAGTCCGAGCAGCGCCGAGCGATGCAGCTGGCGCTCTCCGTCCGTCTCTGCGGGCGCGTAGTAGCCGCTGAGGCGCACCTACCAATCTCGGCTCATCTCGGCTCATCTCGGCTCATCTCGGCTCATCTCGGCGCGTAGTAGCCGCTGAGGCGCAGTGGCGGGCAAGGTCGCGCGGCCCCCGCACAGCGCAGAAACGCGTGCATGCGAGCGGGGAGACGCGAGTGGCCTTCTGCGGCCGCTCTGCAGACCGGGGGCCCCGCTCGAGTTGTTGGGTGTGTGCGCACCTCCTGCAGCCCGTCGCGCGTGAAGGGGCGGTAGTACTTGACCCTCCTCCGCTCCTTCTTGCTCAGCCGCCCGAGCGCCTAAGAGCCAAGAGGGTCAAAGATGGTCAGTGTGTGTGTGTGTGTCTGTGTGTGTGTCTGTGTGTGTGTGTGTGTGTGTGTGTGTGTGTGTCTGTGTCTGTGTGTCTGTGTGTCTGTGTCTGTGTGTGCGTGTCTGTGTGTGTGTGTGTGTGTGTGTGTGTGTGTGTGTGTGTGTGTGTGTGTGTCTGTGTCTGTGTGTCTGTGTGTCTGTGTCTGTGTCTGCGTGTGTGTGTGTGTGTGTGTGTGTGTGTGTGTGTGTGTGTGTGTGTGTGTGTGTGTGTGTGTGTGTGTGTGTGTGTGTGTGTGTGTGTGTGTGTGTGTGTTGCTCCCGTGTGACCGCCTCCCGTTCTCGCCTGCGTGCCACCCATACGACCCGGTGCGCAGACACTGGTGATCTGTTCTTCACCTCTCTATCTACCTCTGCGCCTCGCGAAAGTTTCGCTCCACGTTGACACCGCGAAGGATGGGCGTGCGCTGCGCAGGCAGCCTCCAGATGTCGTTCAGCGCGTAGCGCCACCACTCCAGGCCCCACCAGATGGCGCGAGGCACGTACAGCGGCTCCGCGCTCCCGTCGTCCGCCACCCACGTCGCGCCTCGCGACCCAAAGTCGTACACGCGGCACTCGTGGCCGAGTGCGAGGTGCAGCATCATGTCGTGGTCGAGGTTGGCGAGCAGGCCGGAGTAGTCCTGCGACTCGCACTGCGACGACTGGATCCGGCAGACGCCGAGCGCCTCGGGCGCGACGCCGGCGGAGAGAAGGCCGTCGATCGCCTCCACGCCGTTGCTGAGGTTGATGTAGTGCCGCGTGTAGATCCCGCCGCCCGCGCAGGACGCGACGGAGCAGCGGGCCTGGGCGGCCAGCCGGGTGGCGGCGCGGAGCGTCGTGCCGTCGAGGCGCAACATATATGTGCTTACAGTATTTTGTGCCAGCGGAGTGGGCTGCTGGGTGGTGAGCGCCGGATACAATGTACTCGAGTAGGGGGGGTAGCACGGGGTCGCAATGACTCGGTGGTGCTCTCGCCGCCTCGCGCCGAGACCTCTGTGCGACGACACCTCAAGCCGGCCGACGGCATGTGGACGCAAGAGGCGATGGCAGCGGCGCGCACCGTCTTTGCTATGGCTGCGGTCGGTCGGGCTGAAATTCATCATCTTCAACCCGATCGGCGACTGATCGGCGATCGTGACCCACCGGGCCGTCACCGCCACCGTCGCCTCCCCCTCCGCCACCTCCGTCGCCGACGCCACCGCCGCCACCGCCGCCGTCACCGCCGCCGCCACCGCCAGCATCGCCGCCCCCTCCGCCACCGCCATCGCCGCCCCCATCACCTCCACCATCGCCACCGCCGTCCTCTCCGCCACCATCACCGCCGCCATCGAGCATCGTCACCGCGCCCCCCTCCCCTCCTCCGCCGTCGCCACCGCCACCGTCGCCCCCACCACCCTCTCCTCCACCACCCTCGCCGCCGCCACCGTCTCCTCCTCCTCCGCCCGGTGAACCGCCCTCGCCGCCCTCGCCGCCCATGCCCCCTCCATTCCCACCACCACCGTCGCCACCTCCGTCGCCTCCACCATCGCCGCCTCCGCCATCGCCGCCTCCGTCGCCACCGCCCTCGCCTCCGCCACCGTCGCCACCACCGCCCTCTCCGCCCCCTCCGTCCCCGCCGCCGTCCCCGCCGCCGCCGTCGCCGCCCCCCCCTTCACCGCCACCGCCGGCACCGCCGCCGCCGTCTCCGCCACCCCCCTCACCACCCCCCTCACCGCCGCCGCCCCCTCCCAGCCCACCACCACCCTCACCGCCACCACCCTCGCCCCCGCCCTCGCCTCCTCCACCCTCGCCGCCTCCGCTGAGCCCGCCGCCGCCCTCACCGCCGCCGCCCTCACCGCCGCCCCCCAGCCCGCCGCCACCATCGCCCCCGCCGCCGTCGCCACCTCCTTCGCCGCCTCCCAGCCCGCCTCCGCCATCGCCGCCGCCCCCATCACCGCCGCCCCCCAGCCGCCGCCGC